GTAGCTTTGGCCTTGGGCTGGGCCTTTTTTATTCTTTTTGGCTTTGGTGGGGGCATAGATTGAGTCGGAACAGCATCAGCATCGGCAGGTAGGTCGGCTAAAAGATCTACAGCAACAGGCTTCGGGCGACCCATCTCAGCAGTTTTGACAAGTCGTCGCCAACGTTTTCTTTCTGGTATTGGGACCAAGTATGGAGCTGAAGTTGATGGTTGATCGGCTGGATCAGAGATTGACCCTTGGTCAGCCCGAGATGTTGATGCGGCTTGTAAAGTGGTAGCAGAGGGAGGTGATAAGCTCTTCTTCTTTCTTTTTGGGACAACGGGCAGTGTAGACTTGTACGTCGGAATAAAATTCAGTACCAGTGGAGCCTTGCACTTTTGGATTGAAAGATCTAAGAGCCTCTTTAAGTCTTTGCTGGGAACGTAAGATTGGCGAAAGTCTTTTGGTGACTTACGAACGTCTGCAAGAAGAAACAGACATTAGAAACAGATAAAATATTAAAGACTTGAACAGAAACAACTAAGTATTGACCCTGGGCTCTTACCCTTGCCCTCTTTAACTGATCGGGGAAGAAGGTAGAGATGGGCGTCCTCGTCTACGCCGAACTCCCAATTTCCCGAAGCAATAACATAGTCATCTGCAGCCCCCTTGTTGGAGTCTGGGAGGTCGGCTACGATTTTGAATTCAGTAGACCTCGGCTTAAGATAATAGACAAAGCCTTTTTCCTTCAGGTTAAGGGGGCACATGGTATAACAGTACTGGATGTCGGCAAGGGTGATCCTAGCATTCTCCTGCCTAGCTAAAACTATGATGCCATTGATCACTCGATAAGAGTTTATGGCAAGTTGCATAGGGTTCAACTTGTAAAAGTGAAGAATTTCGCGAAAGAGAATGTTAAGTGGGAGCCGGAGTCCGCACTCAGTAAAAGCTACTATAGGAAAGGGCATTGAATCATCTGTGGGCATGATGGAGTCGTTATCTTCAGCCAGCCTCAGATGGACATCGGCAGGAATAGAGAACTCTTGCCTAAAGTACTCAAGTTTGGTCGGAGTGTTTACCCTATGTCTCCACATACCCATAACATCGGCCTAAAATCAGAGGGCTAGGTTTCAGAAAGAAGATGCTCTTAAGAGGATTGTCGGACCTCGGCGAAACCCTAGGTATATGCTGGTAAGGATTGTTTCAGTTTTTTCCTAAAAATTGATAGGTTCTATAGACAAATCCCAAACCTAAATCTATGAAGGCAAAGATTGAAAGTAAAAATTGAAGGTAGAGATCTGGCAAAGACACAAAAAACAGAAAACAAAGGCGAAGTTTCAGAAACAAGAACAGGGATGGGCTATCAAGAACATGAAGAATACGAGAAATAAAGGACCAAGATCAGTGGCAAAAATACAATGAAATGGTGCAACGGTGCGTGTGTTCAAGGTATAGGCAAGGGCCAAATCAAAGAATAAACACATTCAGATGAATGATTCACAAAATAGATATTTGAGCAAGGCAGTAATAACAGGAGATTCCAGAAATGGTCAAGAATTGAAATCAGAAGGAACAGTTGCTTACCAGAGAAAATGAAGCTGATGTGAGGACTGCCGCAATCAGTCGGTAGTTACAAATGTGGCAGAACGACGAAAGTTCCACCACGAAGACAAACATAGAGCTAGGAAGCTTCAACAATGGCGGATTCAAAAGAACGAGTTTAAAGAGAGAAACAGCAAATGCAATAGTGAAAAAATGAAAGAAGAAGGAAGAGTTTTTGTCAAAAACCAAAAACGACGGCAAAAGATAATCAATGCATCTGGAGCAGCGCATACGTCAGGCGGCGTACGCAGGAAAAACGTGGTTTATAGGCGCGTCACAAACACGGACCAATAAGGTAAAGACGCATAAGAGAAACGGTTGAGAAGTGATGCATGACAGCTCATGCGCGTGGGAAAGTTCACTGGAATTCTTGTTCTCTGAAGAGAACATGTCGGCTTGAAATAAATGATCTCGGCTGAAGAGTTTGTAAGCCAATGCATAAAAAGAGATATCGATATAGGTTCCATCACCTCAGAATGTCGAGGTAATAGAACCTAGGGGGCAGTTGTGGGGATTATGATAAAATTTTCTCATAAGATCTATTAGACAATAAATTCACTTATTAAGATCTATATGTAAGTACCTGTGGGGATGTATTTTCTGAATACCAACACGTGGCATGGTGACGCCGACGTGTCAGCCGAGGTGCCACGTGTCGTGGTAGTTATGCCGAGGTTATCTTTGGCGAGGCCGAGGTAATCTCCGAAGATATCGAAATCCGAGATAAGCGGATAAGGGACAAGAGTCCTAGAGTAAAGAGAAGACTTAGCCAAGATAAGGATAAAACTCTTAGGGAGTTTATCTTTATCTCTTGAAAAGTCCAAAGTAAGTATTGAATTGGAGTCCATAGAAGTCAAGCTTCTAGTGGGACTAGGATTGAGTAAACTATAAAAGAGAGGCACCCCCGTGGTCTAAGGTATGAGTTTTATGCTTTAAGCAGTGATTTTAGTACTTGATTTAACTTTGAGAGATATACTGACTTGATCGTCGGAGTGCCCCTGGGTGGTCGAAACCACCGCGGGATTCTTATATTTCTGTTACAGGTTAGCTAAAGCCATCTATTCTGTCAGTGCTCTCCAACTGATTACTAAACAGGCAATGTGGTTAGATTTTCACCCACACAAATAGTATAGATGATTCTTCAGCTTGAAATGCTTATTTCCGGAAGAAAATTTGTTAGTAGCAGCAAAAATGGTACCCAGATCAACAAGAGGTAATTCGAGCTCATTATCTTGACTTTCTTCTTTAGAATCTTTGTAGAAACTGTTTTCCTCTTGTGCTGCTGCGAATTAACTTTGTTAGACTAAGAAAAGAAAATGACAAAAACTTTATGCCCCAACAAATAAGAAGTACGAAATATTTTTTTATTTTTTATAAAAACTTATATATATATATATTGGGAAGAAGTGGAACTTAAAAAGCATCAAAAGAATGCCGTACCCAAATATCAGTTGGGTACAACAGACTTGAGCTGTTAGATAAAAATAAAAATAAATAAATAAATAAAATGGAATGAAAGAGATGTTTTACCTTTAAGTTTTGCCTTTCTTAACTGAGAAATATAATAGCCAGCCGTGGCGGGGAGAATCATCCCCAAAACTGTAGATACCACAACAACGATGATCATCATCATTTTCTTTTTCCTCTTTGCATCAGCAATTGATTCTAGACACTCAACAAAGTTGACAAAATAAGTTATTTTGTCCCATGGTTTCTTGCAATGTATTTTTTAGGGCACTCAGGCAATAAATCATTTTTTAGATTTTTTTTGTCTAAAAGTCCAAGCGTTTTTTCATTAGATCCATAAAGACATCATTTTATAAAATGACCAAACTACCCTTAAGTGCTAAGTTCTTCTTTTTTTAATTTTTTTTATTTATTTTAATAAACGAAAAAGTCTTTCAAAAAGAGTAAATTACGGGTCAATCCTATATGATGAACTTAAATACCTATAAATGCTCATTTTGCCCCCAAAAACTTTTTTGGAAATATTAATAAATGAAAAAAATGAGCAAAACTTATAAATAAAAAAAAGCTTGATTAATAGGACTGGCCCGTAAATTCTCAAAAAAAAAAAAAAGAAGGTTTAAAGTAAATAACTCTGGTTAACAAAAACGTATCGGTTACAGCCCATTTTGTTCAATTGAACTCAATAAAACCTGAATTAAAGCCCCAATTAGGTTCATATGTGCCAAGTCCAGATCAAAGCCCATAAGTTTACACTTTAAGCTCATTGGTAGGGTAAGGATCTGTGATTAATTATCCCGACCCGAGCCTAGGACGATTACCAAACAAAACCCATGAGTTGGAGCCTAGTCGCACTTGGGCTTTAAAAATTTTTAAGACAGGCCCAGTCCATTCATAAGACAGTGAGAATATAATCCGTAGTTCGCCCACAGCCAAACAGCACCTTGGAGAGAACCCTCTGAAATGTCACATCAATTTTTATATAAAAAAATAACAACTTGTTTAGTAAATTTCCAAACATATCATTAAAAACCAAACGCAAATGTTTGACCTTTTGTCACGTTAGAATGATTAAATCGAAATTAAATTGTTAAATTATTTAAATTAAAATAATATAAAATAAAATAAAATTTAAATTGAATTATAAGAATAAAAATTTATAATTTACCATTTTTTTAAATAAAAAGTGTATACAAAATGGACCTTAGTTTTTCCTTTAAACAAACATTAAACTAAGCAAAGAGCATCAATTTCATAACGAGAAGCAATTAGTAAATAACAAGAAAAACAACAATTACTTAACTATGATCTTGCTCCAAATAATAATAATAATAATAATAATAATAATTTGAACTCACTCACAAAACAAAAAGTAGGTACAAAGCCAAGTGTTTATATGATTAATATCCTAAATGGTTTCACTAAAATGACAATAATATTTTCATTGGTTAATTAAAATCATGTGATAAAATTAATTAATTTCCTCTTTTCCCCAAACAAATTACAAATTTACAAGTTTGATAGACAAGATTTTAAATGTACGAAGCAATACAAGCTATGCAACTAATTTTTCTTACAAAGATTAGGACAACAATTCTATCTTCCATGTAGCATTGCTATGATTATTTCATTTGTTGTACAATAATGTTTCCCAGTTGATGAAAAATTTGTATAAGTTATTTCTCTTTCAGAGTAAAAATTGGATTGTTTTAAGTATGAACAATATTGACTTCTCGCTATTTAATATTAATGTAAATTATATTTTTTTAAAAATTATCTAGCTGAGTTGAGTTAAACTTAAATTTCATTAATATTAATGAGTCGAGTCGAGTCGAGTCGAGTTCAAATCCAATTAATTATCTAGTCAAACTCAACCTTAATAAATTAGCCTGGTAAGTAAACAAACCGAGTTTAATATTAGCAAAGCTACATTTCATCCGACTCATTTCACGTCTCATTTTGCTACAATATTTTGGACTACATCCTCTTTGTGAGTAGGAGAGAGCCATGTACGTCTCAGAAAATATTTTCTGAATCTATTCTCTGAGAATTCTGTGTGTCTATCTCAAACGCTCACAGCCCAATGGCAATCGACGATGTCGAACAGCTCTCGCGTCGGACCACCATCATCAATGGTAACAAAACTTTCATTTCTCTCTCATTATTTTTTGAAATCTGGTTCTCTGATCTGAGTGATATAGTTTTGAATTCAGTTCTGAAATGGTTTGATTTCTAAATATGTCTTCTATATATGATTGAAATGGGTTTCTGAAATGATCTTTAATTATTTTTTGAAATGGGTTTCAAGTGGTCATTCCTTATTCTCTCTTATGGAATAATTTCCCTTACAATGGGAATACCTATTTTGATAGAATGATCATTTTATTCCACTTCATTTCATTCAACCAAACACTATCTGTGTGAAATGATTTTGGAATGGGTTTCCATGAAATTTCTACGACATTGTTTCTCAAAAATGGGTTTGAGGGGTTTCTAATCTAATAGATGAGAAGGCATGAAATGAAGGGTAGTCAAGTAGAAATGAGGGTTTTTATGTTTCTGCTTTTCTTTCAAAATAATTGTTTTTTTTTTTCTTCTTCTTCTTCTTTCTCCTGTCCTTGGTACAGTTATTTGATTATTTATGAGTTTTGTAGGCAAATCTAATTAATTTTTTCTTTTGACCAAAGTTGCAATAAGTAATTTGTTAATACTTTTCATCTCTATTTGTTTTGATCTCTATATATGTATGCAATTATTTTCTTTTCTTTTTTACTTCAAATGGTATAGTTATAATTTTATAGGGTTTTCAAATTTGTTGATTTTGAGTTTGTGTTGATTTTTGTTTCCTGGTTTTTTTCTGTTTAAATAGTGTCTTGCTTCTTCTTCAGGTTTGATTTTCTCTCTTGCCTTGCTCTTGCAGATTGTTTCTATTTCAGTTGATTTTTTTTCTCTCCTGTTTTTTGCTATATTTTAGTACCTGTTAGTATATTATTCTATGTTAGTGTATATTAGCTGTTAGTAGGGTATATTTCTTTTCCTTTTACTTTATTTTATTATTGCAACTTTCGGCTCCTCTCCTATATAGAGGAGTTCAACTGAACTTTTGTAATATCTATCAACAACAATCAATACATCAATCAATAATACATACAATTTATCTCTATCAATATATTTTACAGTACCTGTGAATTTCCATCCTTGTGGAAGCGGTAGCTGTGAATTTCCCACCGATGATGATTCTTCTCACCAAGGGCCTTCCAGATATTGGAGGACCCACTTCATCAGTTTGATTTACAAATCAAGTCCATTGTCTCTTCAAGTTTATTTTATTTTTTCCCCAGATGGTCTAGGTTTTCTTTGGAATATTTTTCCCATATTTGCATCTTTTTCCCCCATATGTTTCAATTTGCATATTGGGTTGTGATAAATTTGTCTTTGTTTTTAAAATTAATAAAACTACATTTGTATCTCACGAGTTTTGTGATAAGAGTGCCTTCAACAGATTTAATTGGACTTCGAATTTAACTGTTACATTTATTTGGTACCTATTTATGTATTTGTGTTTAAGGTATCTGTTCCTTTGAGTTATTAAACATTTTCCCCTATTGTAGCAGATGTTGGACTACATTGTTCCTCAAGGTGGGAGCAAAGTAAGGGAAATTTTGGTAAATTATTTATTAGAAAAATCTGATGAGATGCAGAAACTGGTAAATAATGCTTCTAGATTTTATTTTATTATTTTAAAAGTATCTTGATAGAGTTGTTTCTGAAAATGAGGTATTTCTTTATTTTGGTGATAATCACAAAGTTTATTTGTTTTGTGTGAGCATGCATGCATGTTTTTTCCCCCCTATTTTTTAATTTTTCGGTTATATTTTTCGCAAGCATCCATGCATTTAATTATGCATCAGGAAGAATGCTAATGTTTGTTGTTACATGCACTCTTTTTATTTTTTAATTTTTTTACAGTGTTCATAATTTATTTTGCATATAATTTCAATTGGGTTGCTATATCTCAACTTTTTATTGTGCTAACCAATTAATTTTTTGATACATTCATGCATTTGTGTTGTGGTGATACTTTTTCGTTGGTTTTTGCTCATAATTTTATTAGAACAAAATTTAGAACTGTATTTTCTTCTTCATCTTCTTTTCTTTTTTTTTTCTTTTTTCCTACCTGTGCTTTTGCATCATTCATTCTTTTTCCTGAGGCGTTCACATGGTCTTCAAAAACAAATTGACAAGGAGGTGACCATGGCAGTGGATGGGACACCAGTGATCAAGGAAAAGATAGGGGAAAGAGAAAATATAAACATAAAATTTCTTTAAAATAGATAGATAAAAGAATAGGAAAGAAGGATTAGAAGAAATTGCAATGGAGCTACAACTCATCTAAAACTAAACCATAAATATGTTATGGTTTTGGGTAGTAATATCTAGTTTTAAATCTCACGGAACCAAGTGAATTTTGGCTGTGCTGTTGTAGCTTCCTTAGACAACTCTAACAATCATAGTCCATCCTGAAAAGAGCCATTGGTTCTCCGAAGTTGATTGATTCAAATAATATATGAGCACAAATTACTTGCAACAAAGATTTAAATTGTTATATGATTTACTTATATACTGAAACCTTTTTAATTTTAAATAATTGATATCGACATGTTGACTGTGCAGCAATCATAAAGTTTAGAATTCCTCAGGTAATGGTATGCACTTCAGCATCAAAGTATAAATGGCTATTTTCAGTCATACTTGTGCAGTATTTAGGTAATTTACCTTTGCAGTAATTTGTCTTCGCAAGCTTTTGATTCAAATATCAAAATTGAAAGCATTTATCATCTTATTGAATATCCATTCACATTTTAGTTTTGCATACTCAACTAATTAAAGACAATTTCTCTTGAGTTAAATCATCTCATCTTGTCTCACACATTTAGTTGAAACATTTCAGATGTGGGGAGAACAAAGTTTTCACTCATCTGCGCTCATAATTTTTCCATCTATTAGCCCATTAAATAAAATATTGGATTTAGACACCTGCTTATTGTACCTGCAATTTAGTTACACTTTATCATTCCCTCTCTGTTGGAAATTGTGCTTTGTTATGTGTTACTTATAGGGAATCTTAGTCTTAGGTCTATATAGACTTTGTTACTCTTTCATTGTTTTTCCTCCACTCTTCATTTTTTGCATTTTTTCTATCTTATATAGGCGAATCCACTTCATTTTGCTTGGATTTAACTATTGAAATGATGAAAGTGATGCTGTTTGGAGTTTAGGACAACTTACAATCCTTGGATCAATAGGTGCTGACAAAGCCAATTCCACCTTGTAATACATCAAAGAGAAGATTTCTACCTGAAGAAGTAAGCCAGCTCTGAGGTTTTCACAGGAGACATCTCTTCAAGCTCACCCTGTTTCTCTCTCGCTCGGTCATCAGACCACCATCATTGTCGGACCACCATCATCACAACATTCGAAATGGTTTGATCTCTTTTCTGAGTGAAATGCTTTCTGTTTTCTGAAATGGCTTTATGAAGAATGCTCTCATGCTTTGTGAATCCAAGTGCTTTCATGCCTAATATGCACCCTGTGAATATTAGGCATGAGTACTCTACTTTGATAAAAAGAGATCTTCTCAAGTGGTTTTAAAGTGGGTTTATACAAAATTAGATTGATCTCTTTATTTCAAATGGTTTCTATGGGTTTCTCTAAAATGGGTTTGAGGGTTTTCTAATAGAGGAAAAGGCATGAGATGAGGGGGAATCATCTGTCTTCAGGATTTTAAAGCTCACTTTTTATCATTTGTCTTTCTTTTTTTCTTTTCCCTCAACAAATCGCTAATCAAATTGCAGAACCAAACATAGCCTTTAGGGTTCTAAAATTTATGGCGAAGGACCGTCCAACTTTCATTATCGCGTGGTTGCCTTGTAAATCTCCTCTTTATATATATATAAATGTTTGCTACTTGGATACGAATTGAATTGCAGGAGTTTGAAAATTGATAATAAGAAGTGTTCTCTTTAGTTATTGATTGGTTGTCCTTTCCATTCTTTGTTCCAATTTGAGAATGGAAATGAAGAACCATATTTACCTCTCAATCTTCCAATTACTAAACGTTTGATTCTCCACTTCTCGTTTCGTTTTTGTTCTTTTATCCATACCCTGCTATGCCATTGGCTAAAAGAATTTATACCGAATAACAAAGGTAGCATGTTAATGTGCAGCTTCATTTTATGGAAAATATTTTGTTGGCAATTCTTTTTAAACCAACTAAAAGGCCAACCTCTTTATATGGCCCAAGTTACACATAAAAACCTATTTTGGTAAATCGGTCCTTAATTCTTGAGACTTAATTCTTACAACTGAATCATGCAATCATATTGAATTTGACTGAACTAATTTATTATTTTCCAAGTGGTTTCTGTTGAAATGGATTGTAACAGTTACTTTTTTTTGGGGGGGGGGTTATATTTTCTACATTGGTTATGAAAATCAGTGTCACTTCATGTCTGTTGCTGCCTATATTTACCAATTCACAAAATAAATCATATTTGGTCCTCTTGTACTCAACTTATATATTGTCCTGTACAGATTGACAATTGGTAATGGCTTAACTTTTTAGTTATGAGTTTTGACTCTGTTCCTCATTCTTTGTTTTATAATTTTGAAATTTTTAATGTCTTTGCTAAATGTCATTTATTAGGTAATGATGTTCAAGAAAAGAGGGATTGCCTAATAAAATCCAAGTCCAAACACAGTCGGGCATTAGTTGCTAATAATACTGCCTAAAGTTCTCTAATCAAGACATAGATGTGATCTTAAGGTTAGATCTTTGATCCTCATGGGCACACATTTACATCTCCAGGTGTGTTCCAAAAGGCCTTTGGTCAACTAGAATGACAATGTACTGTTTTGTCTTTATAGCACTGCATGATTGCAATGGAGCTAAAATGCTTGATATTGTCAAATTGACAAGTAATTTACCTTTCACTTGATATGTTTAGAATTTTCTAAGTAAATATCAAGGCCCATGTTTGTTTGGTGGACATGACCTTGAGAGTGGATTAATAATCCAACAAAATGCATAATTTGATGTTTGGCTAAGAAAATTGGGATCCGGACTAATAGTTTATCCGGACATAGTATTTTCCATAATAGAAGATGTTTAGACTAAGAAAGTGTTCAGATTAATTAGTTAAATTGAAAATTTGATAGATTTTCTCTATCCCTCATAATCCTGAAACAATCTAAACATTGGGATGGGATACACAATCCAAAGGGATTTATAAAATGATAATATCATTTAAACTACCCAATCAAACATAACCTAATAGTTTTATTAGATTATGAAACAATTTGTATTGTATTGTTAATGTTTTAGTACTGAACCATAATATTAGTAGAGATAAGAACATGCATCACTTCTTTCATGTCGAAGTGAGTACTAACCAACATCAAATGGGATAGGTAATGTGATCACTAAAACTGGAACCTCTTGTTGGCTTCCCTCTGCTAGCATGTATGACCAATAGTGAATTTTTTCTCTCCTGTTCACATAGCTGTATCTTAATCTTCTTAGCTCATATTTTATTAATGCCAATATCGCATCTGCATATCCAATATGCTTGCCAGTGTTGATAGTGGCCATTATTGCGGGTGGAAACATTTGATGCAATAGCAGAAAATACAAAAAAAATTGCTTGCATTCTTAACAAGTATGAAGTGCTCCTTTTCTTTTCTTTTCCTGTTTATTGTTATTTCTTTTCTTTTCCTGTTTGTTGTTATGTATCCTTGTTTAATGGTTAGGTTTTGGTAGGAATAAAATGACCATTGGATGAAATTTTAAATTTGAAGGTTTTCCAGGATTGCTGTCTACCCACACAGTTCTCTTCAAGAAAAACCAAGCCACAAGAAAAAGAAATTCAAGAGATTTTGGTACTGATACTTGAAAAGCAAAAAGCAAAAAGCAAAAAGCTTGAAGGTGATAATGTTGTGGATGAGCCACCTATTGATGTACCATCATTGTTTATAACTAAACTTGTTTATGATTTCTTGTTTAATGTTGAAGATCTAAAATATCTGCATCCCTATTTTGAAGGACTTCTTGTTCTTGACCTCTATTATGTGCAATGTTATAACCTCTATTTTATTTATACATTTTGATCTATATTATGAATTTCACAACGTTTGTAATCACATTCTTCCAAATTACACATTACATCAATTCATGGGCACGTGCTATATCGTGCAACGAACGTTGCCCACGCACCTAGTATATATATAAACCCCATTGTAAAGCGATATTAAAAAGGAAAATGTTTGAGGGTCACAATTTTTGTGGTCACAATGGTTCAAAACTGTCAAAACGACATCGTTTTAGGTGCAAAACATGTCAAAACGACGTCGTTTTGACAATTTTGAACCATTGTGGTCACAAAAATTGTGGCCCTCAAACATTGTTGTATTAAAAAACTAGATGATGCAGTCCATTGTAATGACTGGAGACAATCTTAATTCCATTTAAAACTTTTAAATTTGCAAAAATTGCACTGATGACCCCAAAAAAAAAATCAAATTAACAACCATAATTTTTTGTGATAAAAAACCTGTATTTCAAAAAAAGAAATTTGATTCATCCATGATTCTATGTTTTTGTCTTTGAATTGAAAAAAAAAAAAAGAAAAATTATTGGCCTTTTATATAATTTTCACAAATCAAGTCAAGGTCACATTAAGATTTCTCGAGCGCTAAATTCTTTTTCTTTTTTTTCTTTTTTTTTTGAGCAAAACAGGTCCTCAATACCTATGAGTCTTCTACACTTTTTTAATGCACTAAAAAGTCCTAAATCATCAGCACTTTTTTGAAATATTGATAAGTGAAAATGAGTAGCACTTATAAGTAAATAAGTTTAGTTAATAGGATCGGACCATAAGTTCTCAAAAAAATATGTATATATTGAAGTAAATAAGTTCTCAAAAAATAATAATACTAATAATAATAATATTGAAGTAAATAAGTATGGTCAATAAGACTTACAAGTTATAGATCATTTTGTTCATTAAACCTTGAATTAAAGACCAAATTAGGTTTATATGGGCAAATCCAGTCTAAAGGCCGTAGGTTTATTTTTTAGGGACTTTTACTGGCCGGTCCTACTTTTTATAGTTATTACCCTCTTAGTCTTGGTCTTATACACCAATAAGTCCTGGAGCTTTATTTTTTGTATCGTTTTACCCCTATTTTGTTTTCCTCTGTTTTCGCCGCATTTTCTATTTGCTTTTTGCCATCAAAATACTATAATGTGAGTTTGGGTTTGGGTTTTCAGTCCATATCTCTCTCTCTCTCTCTCTCTCTCTCTCTTTCTAGTGCTATGGCCATGGCCATTCACCCACCACCACCACCACTGTTGTCTGTCATTGACCACCACCACCACCTTCGTTGGTCACTACTACCACCATCGTCCACCAACCATCTCCACCGTCGCCGATCTATACTTCACCAGCTCCGATTCACCGCCACTGCTTACCAACCATCTTCGCTATCATCCCCGATCTATACTCCGTCCTAGATCTACATTAATCTAGTTGTTTCTACTGTGAAATCAACTTCAAACTACTACAAGCAACATTGATTCTCCAAATCTCACCTCTCTCTCTTTATATCTCTCAAACCAAATCTGTTGCAAACAAGAGTTTAATATATCAATGATAAATTTATCACTGATATATGTCTTTGAATCTTATGTTGATTTGTTACGATAATGATGAGATTTTCTTTCTATAATTTTTTAACAAACAATCAGTGAGAAATTTATCAATGAATGTGTCTATCAATGATAAATTTATCACTGAATATGTCTTCGAATCTTTGTGTTGATTTGTGACGATAATGACGAGATTTTCATTTTATAATTTTTTAACAAACAGTCAGTGAGAAATTTATGTAAATGTGTCTATTAGTGATAAATTTATCACTGAATATGTCTTTGAATCTTTGTGTTAATTTGTGACGATGATGACGAGATTTTCTTTTTATAATTTTTTAACAAACAGTTAATGAGAAATTTATCAGTGAATGTGTCTATCAGTGATAAATTTAACATTAAATGTCTATGAATCTTGTATTGATTTGTGACAATGATGACGATATTTTCTTTTTATAATTTTTTAACAAACAGTCAATGATAAATTTATTACTGAATATGTCTTTGAATCTTGTGTTGATTTGTGACGATGATGATGAGATTTTGTAATTTTTAACAAGCAGGCAGTGGTTAAATTTATCAGTGAATTTGTCAATCATAAATTTTTTTACTAGATTTGTCTTTGATTCTTTGTGTTAATCTACGAATATGAAGAATTATTTTCTGGTAAGAATTCCTCATCTCTCTCTTTCATTTTCTTCATCCTTATTTTTCTCTTTTTCTTGTTTGAGGAGGTACTGGCAGTATTGACATGGTGGAAATGGAAAATGGCCACACAAAAAAATATTGTCAAAGTTTGGAAGTAGTTGCTGGAGGTCAGTAATGGCTGCCTGCAGTCAAAGATGAAGGCCAAAGGAGTCATTGGAGGTCGATGATGGTCGTCGGCAGTCAGAAGTAGTCTTCGGTGGCCGGTTAAGAGAGAGAGATTCAAACAGTTGTCATAGAGAGAGACAGTAGAACGGTTGAGTGATTTCTTTGTTTAGACTGAATGTTAAGGGTAAAATAGGAAGATGTGCTAAATCTTTTTGAGTCAGGACCTCATAGGAATTAAGTCTAGTCCAAAGGACCGGCCCGTAACTCCTCATATTTTTTAAGCTTGTGGGTAGAGCATGGACCTTAAGAATCTATGATAAATCAGCCCAAGCTTGGGCCATTGACTAAACAAACCCTAAGAGTTTGAGACTACGTCGGGCTTGGGCTTTAAAATTTTTTAAGGTAAGCACGGCCCATTGCCAAGACAGTGAGAATAGAATCTGTAGTCTGTTCATGGCCCAACAACACCTTGGACAGAATCCTCTCAAAAGTCCCACAAAAAAATTTTTTAGTGACGTTTCAAACGCCTTAACTTGTAACAAAGCAAACCCAAGTGTTTGATCTTTTGTCATATTGAAATGACCAAATTAAAACTTAAAATGTAGGCACTAAATTGTTGAAATTGAAATAATATGAATCAAAATGATATTTGGATCAAACTATAAGAATAAAAAGTTATAATTTATCCTTTTTGTAACACCTTAGTTTCTCCTTTAACCAAACATTAGCAGTAGGGGTCTTGAAGCAAAGAGCATCAATTTCATAATTACAAGAAGCAATTAGTAAAATACAAGAAAGACTCAAAAAATAATTTTTTTTTTTTTTTTTTAACAGAGCAATAACATTTACAAAGCAATATAAGCTATGCAAATAATTTCACTAAAATGACAATAACATTTTCATTGCATAATTAAAATCATGTAATAAAATAAATTTATTTTCTTTTTCTTTTCCCCAAACAAATTACAAATTTACGAGTTTGGTAGATAAGATTTTACATTTACAAAGCAATATAAGCTATGCAAATAATTTTTTACAAAGATTAGGACAACAATTCTATCTACCTTGTAGCATTGTTATGGTTACTTCATTTGTTGTACAATGATGTTTTCCAGTTGATGAATAATCTATATTAGTTATAACTCTTTCAGAGTAAAAACCGGGTTGTTTAGGCATGGGCAACACTGGGTTCTCACTATCCAACATCAACAGAACAGATGACATTGTCGGTCTGTCTTCAGGATGTTGTTGCACACACAAAAGGGCTACTTGGATACATCTAAACACTTCTGATGTGGGAACTGCATCCTCCATGAAAACATCAAATAGTTTTATAGGCTTTCCTTCATTCCATAACTTCCATGCCTACATCAAAAAACAATTAATAATTTGATTCAGACTGTAAAACAAATTCTAACCTCATACAATTGGTAACATTAAATTTTTAACTCACATGTCCCAAAAGGTTGAGGTCATGATCAGGATCATAAAATCCTCTATTCTTCTTGCCACTCACAATCTCTAAAACCATTACACCAAAGCTAAAAACATCGGATTTCACTGAAAAGTGCCCATTTATTGCATATTCAGGAGACATATAGCCACTACACACAATCATTAAGGAAATATATCAAATAGAAAGCTCTATACATAAATATGAGAGAAATGAGAGACAAACAGTATGTACTTACTAAGTCCCAATAACCCTATTTGTATTTTCTTCAAAGTGATCACCACCAAACGATCTTGCTAACCCAAAGTCAGCAATTTTAGGATTCATCTCACTGTCCAACAAAATGTTTCCTGCTTTCAAATCCCTATGAATTACTCTCAATCTTGAATCTCGATGAAGATAGAGAAGTCCTCGAGCAATTCCCACTATTATGTCAAAGCGCTTTTTCCAATCAAGTGATGTACCTCTGGTTTGATCTGAAACAATTTAAATTTAAACTAAGTTAAAAAAAACTCAGTATACTTTTGGTAAAGATTGTGAAAGATTTAAAGTGTTTAGATCTTAACTAAAGATGAATGTGTCTAAACTTTTGTTTGGCATGTACTCATAGATCAACATCCTCTCCTCTTCATGAATGCAACATCCCAAAAGTCTAACTAGATTGCGATGTTGTAGCTTTGAAATTAAGATGACCTCATTCTTGAACTCTGTGAGACCTTGCCCTGAAGTTTTGGAGAGTCTCTTCACTGCTATTTCTCTTCCAGTTGTAAGTTCACCCTATGGTTTATCATGAACCTTGATATTACTCAACAAGTCAAGAAAGGCAAACAATTTACCATGACTAAAGCAAAAAATAATCAACATTTGATTGTTAAGTTTGCATACATTATGGAAAATTACCCGATAAACAAGACCAAAACCACCTTCTCCAATCTTATTTGTTAAGGAGAAGTTGTTAGTGGCACTAGAAACGGTAGCCAAATCGAATAAAAGTAATGCTAAGTCCTCTTCCTCCACAATTCTTCGGTTGTTGTCTTGAACCTTTTGGTTTCTCTTATCCAATCTCCGAGCTGTAATGATTGGAAAATTATTTACCCAAGAAATATTTAATACATAAAAGGTAAAAGCACTCCAATAGTCCCTCCAATCCTACATTACATTATATGCGATAACTATCGTCTCTTATTATCATCAATAGAAACTTATA